CTCCCTCAGTCTTTACCTTTTGTCTAGTCTTTCTCTTCCTTTATAGTCTGAGTGCTTGGTGTTATAGACTCTCGAGGCTGGCTGGCTAGGTGATTTTTGCAATAGGTAGCCAACCCATTTATTCTCGGTTTTTCTATGAAAAGCAGGTAGGATTCAGTAGTGCCAATAGTTGCTCTTCTTCATTTCCTTACCTGTCTCGTTTTCTGATGTAAGGGTTTTGCTGAGACATTTAATCTCGCGGTGATTTTGCTTTCATGGGTTTTGCTTAATGTCTAAGTCTGGCACTGGTAGCATAATGTTGGTGTAAATATTGAAGTGATACGCTGTCTCTTTGTATCCATAGAGATGTTTGGATGAGATAGAAGGGGTGCGCGCTGGTAGGACTGGTGGCAGCGTTTGCTTCTTGAGTTCGTATATAAATAGTTTCTTTATTTATCTAAAAATAAACCAGAATATAATTTACCGTCTCTTCATACACCCAATAAATAAACCAGATATATATTTTTTAGAGTCGCTTCATATACCCAAGATATAAACCAGATCTATTTTACAATCTCTCTTTGTTCAAACAAGATGTACAACGTTTAGAGAGTGTGGCATGCAATAGAACCCATTTGTATCACGGCTCAGAGGAATCAAGTGCTCGTCAAACTTTGGGCATGTGGAGTTATTGGTACCATCTTAAGGCTTAATAATTTTTCTTGCTTTTGATTTAAAAAGTACCCATTTCTCTTTAAAAGGAATCGAGACATTTGCAACAGATGGAAATGAGGGCCGCCTGGTGTCTGAATGTAAAATTCATGAGAAAAAGGGTAGCCAAAGTTTGGTGATATCCAAAGCTGTGGTGCCTTTAGAAACTACACATTTACACTTTTTGAGCCTTTGATCAACTGTTTTCAGTAAAATCCACGCAGAAATGCCTTTTTAAATGGACATAAAAAGTGCTGATCCCAAAACAGCAACAATTAAAAGAAAAAAAAACGATAAAAAAATAAAGAGAGAGAGAGAGAGAGAGAGAGAGAGAGAGAGAGAGAGAGAGAGGGAGAGAGAGAGAGAGAGATAGATAGATAGATAGATAGATAGATAGATAGATAGATAGATAGATAGATAGATAGATACAGAGAGAGAGAGAGAGAGAGATAGATAGATAGATAGATAGATAGATAGATAAATTGATAGATAGATAGATAGATAGATAGATAGATAGAGAGAGAAAGGCAGAAAAAATAAGAAAAGAGAGAAAGAGAAAGATGGATAGATAGATAAATAAATAGATAGATGACGCAGCCATCAGAATGCCAATGTCATAGTCTGACTTATGACTCGGCCCTATTGTGGATCAAACCCCCAGACCACACAGTCGCCAAGTGGATGCCTAACCCACTTGAATACAAACACTGGTTCGAGTAGAGAGTAATCATTGCTCTGAAAATAGCGTCTTGTCTCCACAGATAAATATCTTAATGGCGAACTTGTCGCCAATAAGGCCAATGAAGACAGTCAACACATTAATAATAATAATAATAATAGATAGATAGCATTTGTATAGCGCATATCCCCGCTCAACAGCAGGCTCTATGCGCTTTACACTATATTATTACCCCAGCAGACTATAGTACACTCCGAAACATTCTCAGCTTCCCGGGAAGCATACAGTGCGAGCAGCCGATTAAGCGCTCAAACACTAACAAACTGACAAGATCTTTCGCTGTCTATAGCCGGGTACCCATTCTCACCTGGGTTAAGTGAGGAAAATTCGTGTAAAGTGCCTTTCCCAAGGACACAACGTCGGGCCCTTGACGGGATTCGAACCCACGACCTTACGGTTGCGAGTCCGAGAGCCTAACCACTAGGCCACCGACGCCACATTGGAAGCCCAGGTCTATTTACAGCAGTGTTGAACGTACCTGACTTAGATGTGATAGAAAAAGAGCAACAGTAGCAACACACATGAAGAAAAACTGACCAGCAAACTCCCAGAAAGAGAATCTGAGGACATCGCATCACTAGAGCTGCAAGTAACAGGAGCATGTGGGGAAATGAGGGGTGAGCTCATTGACTCAAACAATAAGTGTAGCAGTGATAAAGACCAATATTCAGAGCTTTCCACAAACGTCGCCTTATTATTAAAGAAAGAACAATCAAAGAAAAATTATTCAAGAAAGAACAATCAATGAAAATGATTCACAGAGCAATCAGAGAAAAATTATTCAAAGAAGAACAATGAAAGAAAAATTATTCAAGGAAGAACAATCAAAGAAAAATTATTCAAGAAAGAACAATCAAAGAAAAATACTTACACGAGGACAATGTCCACCGAATGTGGCTTCTTTATTTAGAATAACATGAACCGCTCCAGCATACACTGTTTCAGGATGGAAAGAGGGAGTCGACGGAGCCTTGTGTGAAATATGCAATTTTCAAGAAAATATATATCTCGCAATACAGCATTGGATTCAGCAACCATTGAAGTGACATCTGTTTAAACTGTGACGAGCTGGAGAAGCATATAAACGGCACTGAAGACGAGGACTCAGAGAGAAGAGGCCAGAGGTAGAAAGACTGCTACACCACGCCAAAGCTACGCCACGCCAAAGCTACGCCACGCCAAAGCGGACATCACAAGCAAGTTCTTAGAAAGGCAAGCTGAAGCAGTTAAATCAGACCCAAATCTTGATGCATACACATTTTGATTTCCAGAGAAACGTATCTTGCATGAACCTCTCATTCAACGATCTTCTTAGAAGCGTTTGCTATGAATATATCATTTCGGGGTTCATGACTTGGAAAATGATGATGCCGTAATGAGAATATGCAGTGAGGCGGAAGCTGGCAAAGGGTCAGCTGAAGTCAATTCATGTTTTCTCAAAGTTCTCAAACAGAGGGCGCCTAATGCAAAGTCATTTAATTTTGTTCAAAGACGGATGTCCTGGACAAAATAGGAATAAAGGAATGATAATTTTCAATTACTCATCGAAAAGAAACATGTATGAAACAGTCTATCACATTTTCCTGTACAGAGGTCCCATTTTCTTTCCCAACGATGGGGATTTTGGGCTAATAGGGAAAGCGGAAAATCTGGAGAGAACCATGATTCTCACTGGTGAAAGCAATCAAAGAAAGTAGAAAATCACAGATTTTTCACTCTGAATTCCATCCAGCGGAAAGACATTTTGGACTTAATGAAATGTGCTAATGGGTGCATTTCGAAGTCTACTTTCAAAGACACCTCTGATAGTAATTTTTTTTAGCAGTGTCCACTGGTTCTCTTTTGGACAAAGCAAAGAGCCAGACAGAACACACTTTACTTAACACTTGCACCTCACCCAACAGAAGTTTTGTGCCGGTACACTGTCACAAAGTGGAACCGTGGAAGAAAGTGACATTGTTTAAACGTGGGATTTGATCTGTTCCCACAGCAGAGAAAAAAAATCAATACAACAAACTCCTGTGGATAAGGAAGCAAAGTTGAAGGATTTGATGGAACTCAGCAGTAAAAAGATCATTCCCACAAATGCCAAGCCCTTCTAAGAAAGTCTCCAGTCTGGTGTCAACGAAAACAACTCTGTGGAATAGACTACTTGCTGACATGGACTTGGGTGTTTTCCCCCTTTCCGATCAAATAAAATACCAGGTCTAAGGGAAGGTTAGGTATGGACTTAACCTTGCTATTGCATGCCAAAAAAAGAAAAATAATTTATTGAGGTTTTTTTTCCTTTTCTGCTGGAGATACTAAACTCTCAGTAAACTAAAAAATGTTGTAAACTTCTTGCAAATAAAACTTTCTTTCCACAAGTAGTCGTCGTTATCAGAATCATGTTTTTTTTAACCTTTTCTCGAAAATCTGAAAATGCAACTGAGCCTTGGTACAGAACTTGTCCCGTCACCTGATCGGTTTTATGTTGCGGTCGTTAATTTTATCTCTCATATTATGCATGGTTCAGACCCTTTTCTCGGTGTATTTAGACAACGTTTCCTTCCTTTCGCAATACACAGGAACGTCACCGGCGTCTGTAGTATGACGTCATGGCGCTCACCATCGCACGTAGAAAACACCTGTTCGAGTCCAGGGTGGGGAGGATTTGTTATCGCGTATCTCGGTCTTTCTGCTGTGACATTATATTCCTCTCAGCCCGGGTAGGCCTTGACAGGCAGAGTCGAAACCCGCCTCCTAGATGATCTAAATAAATTTTGTGTCCATGGGTGACAAACTCCCAAAGATACAGAGAGTGAGAAACCGTTCACACTAGTGGAATTGTCAATTCTAGGCAAATATATGAATATAAAGAAAAAGTGAGTCCAAACCGACGATCAAACATGCTTTGTCTGTTCAAATTTCGACTGAGCGCTGACTTGTAATTGGCTGCCCAAAAAATGTAGCTCACCCGTCTTCAGTTACCTAACGGTCGACCTGTAATAAGTAACATTTTTAAAAATCGATAGTGGTAATGAGTACACCGGGCCAGAGTCAGACGAAGCAAAGAGGTGGATCTTGAATCTGACAAACGAAGAGATTTACTCCTTTTGATTGAGGGTCGACATTGTCACTACGATGACTGTGACATTTAGATTTGTATAATGATATGCTGAATGTTTGCTCAAATAATCAGAACATTGGTTGTAATAGACTGTCTATCCTGATGTTCGGTACCACTAAACAAATCTGTATAATTATGTGACACAGATATCTTAACAAGTAATACATTTTTGTTATACAATTTTAATGAAATAAACGATATCTTACAAAACATAGCTGACATAATGTCAGAGGGCAATGCGAGAACACAAAGAAAGAACGTTGTTAAATAATCATTTTTCTGTCCTTGATTAACTCCTAGTTTCCTTTGTACTGGGCGTATAAATCAAGGTCTGTGCCTGAAATAGGGGAGGAGCCTAGCGCTAAAGTAACTGTGGTGTCGATGTCCCACACGTCTCTCCCACCCAGAATGTCGATGTCACATTTGTGGGGAAACAACTCAACTCACTTTCGCGACCAGAAAATGTCAACACCATCACCTTCTGGTTCATATTATGAAAAAATCATAAGCGACGAGCAATGGTATATTGTCCAAGTGGTCATCGTGGTGGTCATCTCAGGTCTCCTCAGTCTGTTCGGCGTGGCCACCAACATCATCAACATTGTGGTGTTTGCCAAGCAAGGTTTTCAGGACAGCATGAACATCAGCCTCATGGGTGAGATAGCAACTATCACATCTTCAGTAAAGTAACTAACAAAAAACGAAATTTTTGTATCAAACGATCATGGAATAGAACTCAACACACATACGTGAGGTGGATATAACAGACAGAATGTTGAAATATAGCACCCAGCACATTTACAATACCGTCAGCAAGCTGTGCGTTTGCTCTAAGCCCAGAAATCTTTTATTTTTCAGGAGAGAGGGAAAAAAAGGTGTCCTCGCGATTTCCCCAATTTGTGAATCGCCACTGGTTTGAGACATAATAATAATGGCAATGGGCGACTCAAATTGTGAATTCAAAACAAAACCCGTTTGAGGGTTAAAATGGCGAAAACACAAAATCATTTTTTAAGTGCTCACTAAAATCCCGAAACAAAATACAAAAAACAACAACAACCACCCATTGTAGGGAAAGGCACTTTCCATTTCTCAACTTCTGACGACAATTTCTTTCCCCCTCTCACGACATTTTTGAAAGACGAAATGGGAAAAAAGGCAAATTGATTTGTTTGGGTGCATGAACCCCCTCTTCCCCTACCCCCCACCCGATAACAATCGAATAATCAACCAACCAGTCAACCAATAAACCAACCAACAAACAAACCAATCAATCAACCAACAAACAAAGAAACAAACAAAGAAACAAACAAACAAAAATGTTGTACTGTAGGCACTTTCCATTTATCAACTTCGGACGACAATGTCTCGCAGCGTCTCTTAATTAACATAAAACATACATTTTAGTGAACTAAGGAGCGAAATACTCATTATATTCAAAAAGTCAACCAAGAAAAAATGCTATGGTGGATACTTTACGCCCTCATCAACACAAATCTGATCATTTAAAAGTCGACCGATTCTGCACTACCTGTCATGGTCAACCCGAACATTAATCAAAGCGAGATTCATGCTTTGGCTACAACAAGTTTATGGATCAAATATCCCAAAGCGGTAAAGGCGGCAGACCGTATTTATAGAAGTAGTGTTGGGTCCTCATACCTTACCCAGCGCATCCCCTGGTGGTGGATAGTGGAGAGGCCTTCAGATACCGAGGTAAGCTACTAAGCAGTCGCGCACAAATTGTTAGATGGTCGTGGAGAGCAGAGGAGAACCCTGGTGGCACAGGTGCTTCAGAAAATACCTCGTACATTCGAAGAAGGGACCATTTTGGCGATGTCACGTCCTGGAAATAAAGTCCTTAAATTATGTTTATGCCAGAGGTGAGATTCCAAAAGATATCCATGATTAAAACTTATAACAACACGTGCCACAGAATGTGAGATGCACAGAACAATAAGCCTTGAGAGTCATTTTACAAAACAACTTGATGCGAGTAATAATGGGAAGAATGAGAAAAAGTCTAAGACCAGAGATATCTAAAATACAGTTCCGCAATGATCCTGACAAGGGCATTCACCTTTTATAATGGAAAGATTTACTAAATCATGGAAAAACCTGTATTTATGTTTCACAGAATAGTCAAAGTTTTTCGATTAAGTTAGGCATGTTGGCTTATTCAAACTATTGGAAGAGCGAGACATAGATAATGAAATGTAAGAATTATTATTTAAACATGGACCAAAAAGCTGTTGTAAGAATTGAGGAGAGTTAAGCGAATATAAGCGGATTAGAAGAGGAGTGAGGCAAGGATGTGTTTTGTCAGCTGACCTTTTTAACATGTACAGTAGAACAATCCTTAGAAATATAGAAGAATACCTAGGTCTCATATTGAATGGCAAAAAGATTAATAGCATTAGATATGCCGATAGCAAAGCTTTAATGGCAGATTCAGAAAAAGACTTTCAATCTGTTCTAGATACTGTTGTAACGTAAAGTAAACATAAAGGGTTATTGTGGAAGAAAACAGAATGCATGGTAATATTTAAAAAGCAGTATATTATCCTACTTTCAATCGCATGAGCAAAAGCAGAAAGATCAAACACGTTCAGCAATTTAGATATCTAGGATGTATAATTACATATGATACCAAACGTTACCAGAAATGAAAAGAAGAATACCAAAACTACAGATAGTTTCAATTAAATGAACCCAATCCTGGGAAACTTAAAAAAATCTCAATGAATACAAAAATACAAATTCTGGAATGCTATGTATGCTCAACCCTTCTATTCTCTATTCGCTTTACAACTATTATTACCCCCAGCAGACCCTCTGAGAACACTCAGAAACATTCTCGGCTTCCGTGGAAACATACAGTGCAAACTGCGGATTTCACGCGCTCAAACACTATCAAACTGACAAGATCGTTCACTGTCTATAGCCGGGTACCCATTTCCACCTAGGTGAAGTGAGGAAAATTTGTGCAAAGTGCCTTTCCCAAGGACACAACGTCGAGCCCTTGACGGGATTCGAGCCCACGACCTTACGGTTGCGAGTCCGAGAGCCTAACCACTAGGCCACCGACGCTAGGCTGTGAATGCTGGACAATCCTTAAAGATAGTGAAAATGAAATAAAAGCGACAGAACTGTGGTTTTTTTTAGGAGAATTGTTTCGAAGGAAAATAAACCATTATTGCGTATTGCTTTTTTCCATAATGTAACATGTTTAACATTTCAGGGCTCGCTGTGTCTGACCTGTGCTCCCTGCTGACCATGATATGGATAAGCATCTGCTGGAACCCACTCTTTTACAACTCTAAGTTGCACTTTGACCCCAGGGATATATCGAACCTCACTGGGGCCATGCCCCATGTCCTCTTTGTCAAAATCGCCACTTTTATAACCGCCTTCATCACCTTTGAACGATGTCTGTGTATCGCTGTCCCTCTGAAGGTGAAGACGATCATCACACCGAGAAGGACAAAGACAATTATTATCTCCTTCTACATTGCCTTGGCTGTTTTGATGATTCCCTTCTGCCTTGGAAACAGACTTGAGTGGGTTTACGATTTGACCGCAAATGCTACTGTGCTAAGAGCCACGCACGCGGCTGAGAGAGAAATGCTAGAAGCCATTACATTTCTCACCCAAGACGTAATTGCTACGACGTTTTCCTTCGTCTTCGTCATCTGCTGTACCATTGTTCTCATCGTCAAACTCAAAAGCAAAACAAAATGGCGACAGGCCACTGTAGCCAAGTCTGATCGTGTAGCGGGAGGTGTTGGCGTCAAAGATCGAAAGGTTGTGAAAATGGTGACCTTCATCGCTGTCATTTTCATTGTCTGCACCGTTCCTTCCACGCTCTTGTTTCTCAACATGGTGATTGACCCAAGTTTTCATCTTGATGGTTCCTATCGAAATCTTTTTTTTGTCTGTTGTTCTTTATCATACCTAACCGAAACTATCAACTCTAGCGTGAATATATTTGTGTATCTGAAAATGAGTTCGAAATATCGAGCAGTGTTTATGAAAACGTTTTGGAACAGGAAGGAAAAATAACTTTTTGAATATTTTAAGAAAAAGTCTTTTTTATAATGGTCATTTCAATGAAGAATAAATCATTACCTTCAGAGGAAAATGTTTTTCTTTTTGATAATGACCGAAAAATCTCAGTACTGTTAAGATATTTTAAGATAAACTAAATGTTTATTTTCCAGATGATGGCATGTGTGTATGGCATACAATCACACAAGATACACACACACACACACACACACACACACACACACACACACACACACACACACACACACACACACACACACACACACACACACACACAAACATGCGCATATTCTCTTACACATTCTCTCTTCTAAATACATCTGTAAAATTACAGACTGATAAAAATGAACAATCGTTGTGAACAATAACAATTTGCAAGCTTGGAAGGAATTTGTGAATTTAGCAGACACCTTGTCATGTGTGGGAAGAGAAATGGAGCATTTAGTTAATGCCCTTTGTGTGAAGGGACAGACGAACGATCAGGTTTGAGTAAGTGTGAGTTTATAGACGGACGAACGATCAGGTTTGTGTAAGTGTGAGTTCATAGACGGACGGGTGATCAGGTTTGTGTAAGTGTGAGTTCATAGACGGACGGGTGGTCAGGTTTGTGTAAGTGTGAGTTCATAGACAGACGGTGCCTTGGATAGGTCAGATAAGGGGGATAAACATACATAAAGTTCTTATTGCAAGTCAGAGTGTTTTATTTCTGAAAATATGAAGACTCTTTGCAGGGAGGCTCTAATTTTGAAAAGAGAAGACACATGTGTTAACATTTTAAACAATTAATTTAAATTCAAAGTACTTTATTGAGTCGTAGTTGTGAAGGAAGCAAAAAGGTTTATAAAAAACGCCTAAAGAAACTCGAAAATGTATTCATACAATCATTGTGTTGAGATCTTGCATTACCCACTCATGTAGCATACCAATTGAAAGTTGAACAAATTCTGCATCATTTGGCGCATTAATAATTCATTGATCATAACAGTCGCCAGAGATATGGTCACTCAAAGGTAACCTTAAAAATCAGATTTGGCAAAATTGTGCGAACATTAAAAGAATCGTATAAGCGTGTCCGCTGGTGTATTGATGGAATGGATATGTGCTGCATATCAAATGAATGGAGAACTTTGTCAAGGTATAAACACCATTTCATTATGATAGTTTCAAAGCATGCTTTCCAAGAAAAATTGATCCTTTATTTTGGTTTTTTTTTGGAAGAAACAGTGGACATATTAAGTTGCCGTTCTAAATGAATACGTTCACAACACGGTGAGCTGGTCATGGCGACTGTCTTTTTCAAACGATTGCTTGACCCTCCACACTCTAAACCTTTCTGTTATATCTCCTCTCAGATATTTGTCCCTGGTAAAATGAACGAGCCAAAAAAAAAAAAAAAGACAAAAAAAAAAGACAACCTACTTCTGATAACTTTAAGCAGATGGGGTTTTTATGTTGTTGTTGTTGTTGTTGTTGTTGTTTCCGCTGGTGTATTGATGGAATGGATATGTAATGCATATCAAATGAATGGAGAACTTTGTCAAGGCATAAACACCATTTCATTATGATAGTTTCAAACAGATTGGAAAAAAGAGAAATGACAAATACCACGCAAAAGTAGGACTTTATATTAAATGTGCGAGTCAGTAGGTGCGAAGCGTCTTCATAACCAAATAAGTACTGCTTTCCTTCCTTAATGTAGTCAAATTAACCCATAGACTGTAATAGAAAATGGCCTTTTTAAATTTAGATGGTGAAAGATGTTCCAAACTTCAGCATTTAGCAGTGCGCAGGACACTCTAAGCTGTTTAATTTCCACATCAATACAATATTATTCACCATTTTCTGGTCACTCGTATAAGCAGTCACAAGCACTGATTATGCAAGCTAAAAATTAATGGTGAGGGAGGACGGACTCCTATAATCTCATGACTGCTGCACATTCTTGTTCTTGTTGTTCTTCCCTCAACCTTTAGCTGCCCTATACTCAGTTCATTGTAGAATTATATGTGAGGCAGGGTGATGGAATCAGGCTCTCGTCAAAATAATCAGTGAAGAGACATTTTTCCGCAGGTTTGTGAATTTTTATCAAATTTTTGTTTTTTGTCTCAACACCTTTCATACCCATTAAAGAACTCATTTCTGGGTGGATCTTTCTGAAAAGCGTTGATTAAAGGCACACAAATTTAAATTTTCAGTTACCATGGACTCATAAGCTAAGGAAATAACTAATCTTTGGCGGCCATTTTCTCGCTAATTTTACCTCTAAAAACAGCTGACCCCCACCTCATTCTTTCGCAAATATCTCAACTTGTATTCAAGATAAATGGATACTTTTTTCATCTAAATAAAGACAAGTGAACAAGCTTTAAGATGATACCAATAACTCTACATGCCCAAAAATTGACGAGAGCCTGATTCCACCACGCTGCCTCACATATTGACTCCTGTCCGCGAAAGGCAAAACAAAGTCAGCCACATTATAAAACAAACTGATAGTATATTTGTTGTAGGATTGCCATCTGTGCTTCCTTGGCTTCTGTTTGCGTATTTACCTCTTTAGTTGTATTTACTGTTTAAACATCTTGAGACCATCATTCATACCACTTGTTCAAATGCTATAATTACGCTTTGCCTAAAGTATGGATAATTATTTATTAATGAGGTATTTTCCCGATTGTTTTGGCAGGCCAACATAGAACATGAATTGAGGATTTCTTTTCATTTACAATTCAGAGAAATCATCTCTCAATATTTAAACATTTTTAACAGATTTTTCAAAATCCCCCCCCCCCCTCAATCTCCTCCACCCCCAGCCCATCCCCCTCCCCGAACAAACAAACAGCAACAAACAGGTATTCAAAACCAACCCCCCCCAACCCCCCAAAAAACAAACAAACAAACAGCAAAAACAACGACAACAAAACCGTACGTCCACCTCCCTTTTGCTTCCCCGGATAAAATAGTCTAAAATAATAATGATCATAATGTGTAGAGGGGGAGAAAACTAATGCCAATGTAGTATAATGGAGGCAAGACGGAGAAATAAATAAATTAATGTTTTGCGCCACTTCTGAATTGAGCTCAATACTGAAAACGTTTTCAAAATAATCAGATGGGATCGGATCGGATCTTAAAGCAGTAACGCAACCAAGTAGCTTATAATCTAGTAAGCATGCTTTCCAAGGAAAATTGATTTTTTTTTTTGGAAGAAACAGTGGACATATCAAGTTGCCGTTCTGAGAGAGTACGTTCACAACACGGTGAGCTGGTCATGGCGACTGTCTTTTTCAAACGATTGCTTGACCCTCCACACTCTAAACCTTTCTTTTATATCTCCTCTCAGATATTTGCCCCTGGTAAAATGAACGAGCAAAAAAAAAAAAAAAAAAAAAGACAACCTACTCTTGATAACTTAATGAAAGATGGGGGTTTTATGTTGTTGTTGTTGTTGTTGTTGTTGTTGATGATGATGATGATGTTAATGTTGTTGTTGTAGTTGATGTTGTGTGTGTGTGTGTGTGTGTGTGTGTGTGTGTGTGTGTGTGTGTGTGTGTGTGTGTGTGTGTGTGTGTGTGTGTGTGTGTGTGTGTGTGTGTGTGTCTGAGCGTGAGCGTGTATCTGTCTGTGTGAGTGTGTGTGTGACTGTGTGTGTCTGTGGGTATATATGTGTGTGAGAGTGTGTTTTTTAATATAATATGTCGCTAGCCGTGTGATTCAGCCGCCTCAGTGCCAAGAGAGAAATTTTTCAGGAGAAGTAAAAAACTGTTTTATTTCTTTATGCACGTATCTATGAATCTGAAATTCACATATATGATATGATATGATGTAAGACGATGGTCTGTAACTAACTTCTATGAAAAAAAGCTTTCTTGCGTAAGTGCTTTCCAAGAAAAATTGATCTTTTTTTGTTTTTTGGAAGAAACAGTGGACATATCAAGTTGCCGTTCTGAGAGAGTACGTTCACAACACGGTGAGCTGGTCATGGCGACTGTCTTTTTCAAACGATTACTTTACCCTCCACACTCTAAACCTTTCTGTTATATCTCCTCTCAGATATTTGCCCCTGGTAAAATGAATGAGCAAAAAAAAAAAAAAAAAAAAGACAACCTAGATCTACTTCTGGTAACTTTAAGCAGATGGGGTTTTTATGTTGTTGTTGTTGTTGTAGTTGTTGTTGTTGTTGTTGTTGTTGTTGTTGTTGTTGTTGTTTTTGTTGTAGTTGTTGTTGTTGTTTTTCTGTCATTGTTTGTACTTTTCCTTCCTCTTGGACACAGTTTCGATGATTTAGGATGTAGGTTTCGAACTAGGCTCAGAGACATACAATATAACAGCAGAAAAACCGATATACTGTACTCGATAAAGTTCTCGCCACATAGGAATCGAACTCGGGTCTTCTGCATGTGACAGCTACACGCCTAACCGCAACACCACAGACTCCGGTGCAGCGAGACATGAGCAAGGAAATCGTTTGTTTGTTTGTTTGTTTGTCTGTTCGTTTTCTACTTGGTTAGCTTGTTCAACTGAAAAAGCAGAGGCACTTTGAAACATTAACCGTCAATAGGTGCTCGAGAAAAGCAAGCAAGACAGAGAGAAGCAAAAGAGGGGCAATAAAACCAAGTAGTGGGGTCTGCCATCGGCACCCTCCAACCACTCGCGGGCAGGGGGTCAAGGGTAGCAACACTTCCCAAATACAGTCGAACCTGTGTAAGACGGCCATCCATTGTCAAGGAGAAAAGTGGCCGTATAAGACAAGTGGCCGTCTTAGGCAGGACTGATCAAGATGAAGAAAACAAACAAACCCTTCCTTTCTGAGGTCCCAACCGAAGATAGCCGCATTGTTGTTGTTGTTGTTGTTGTTGTTGTTGTTGTTGTTGTTTTCGCTGTGTTTTTTTTTCTTTCTTTCCCCTTTTGTTGCTGCATTTGTGCAAGGGCGATAATAAAACGAAATGTGTCAGACAGGGAGGACCGATTGCTTTGGTAAAACATACACATGGGTCGCCACCACTCGGAGAACGAGCGACGCTTCTGTCTCAAGCTCATGTTAACGTCCATTGTTACATTGTCACAGACTGGGTAAACAGTGACCACTCATCTCACTTACGATTTGTGTATGAGTTCTGGGCGGGGCTTATGGGTTATGAGGGATCACACGCTCACTTCAATGGCAGATGAAAACAATTTACCTATTGGTCAACAGTGGGAGGGGCCTCAACAGTGGGAGGGGCCTCAACAGTGGGAGGGGCCTACGCAACATGATCGGTTGGAGGGACTACCTAACAACAACGACAGGGGATTGAATTATGACGGCTCGCCCTCAACGCTAGGGGCCAATGCACAATTTATGACAAAACGTAATGGAGTCAGTAAGGTGGTCGTCTAAGACAGGTGTCATTGCTTGGTGAGATAGGGGGTTGTGCATTACATCTATGGGGTTGTGTGTTACATCTATGGGGTTGTGCATTACATCTATGGGGTTGTGCATTACATCTATGGGGTTGTGCATTACATCTATGGGGTTGTGCGTTACATCTATGGGGTTGTGTGTTACATCTATGGGGTTGTGTGTTACATCTATGGGGTTGTGCATTACATCTATGGGGTTGTGCATTACATCTATGGGGTTGTGCATTACATCTATGGGGTTGTGCGTTACATCTATGGGGTTGTGTGTTACATCTATGGGGTTGTGCGTTACATCTATGGGGTTGTGTGTTACATCTATGGGGTTGTGTGTTACATCTATGGGGTTGTGCATTGCATCTATGGGGTTGTGCATTACATCTATGGGGTTGTGTGTTACATCTATGGGGTTGTGCATTACATCTATGGGGTTGTGCGTTACATCTATGGGGTTGTGCATTACATCTATGGGGTTGTGCATTACATCTATGGGGTTGTGCATTACATCTATGGGGTTGTGCGTTACATCTATGGGGTTGTGCGTTACATCTATGGGGTTGTGTGTTACATCTATGGGGTTGTGCGTTACATCTATGGGGCTGTGTGTTACATCTATGGGGTTGTGTGTTACATCTATGGGGTTGTGTGTTACATCTATGGGGTTGTGCATTACATCTATGGGGTTGTGTGTTACATCTATGGGGTTGTGCATTACATCTATGGGGTTGTGTGTTACATCTATGGGGTTGTGCATTACATCTATGGGGTTGTGTGTTACATCTATGGGGTTGTGCATTACATCTATGGGGTTGTGTGTTAAAATAATATGGTGACTGCGGCCGCGTTGGACAAGTGCCCGTTTTTACACAGTTAAATTTTATAGAAAAGACGCAAAGGGGGATATGGAAAGTGGCCGTTTGTACAGGTGACCGTCTTATAGAGATGGCCGTCAGGGCAGGTTCGACTGTATAAAGTTGAGAGTAATTATTTTAGCTATTTGTTTGGGTCTTCTGCGGCAGGACTGTTTTTGGCCTCAAGGAGTTGGTAAAAAAGACCATTCATCCTAACGTTTAATTTGTACTGGATGTTTTTGTTCACTGTGTATTGTTTTAGAATGATATCATGCTCGCTAGACTAACAATGTATAATAAAGAAAAAAGCATACAGCTTATTTATTATTATTAAAACACATTTTTAACAACTCAGAAAACTCCAACAAAGCAAGACAAACCACCAAATATTAAGTGCAAAAGAGACTAGTCTACACGAGAGGAAAATTCTAGGCAAATAATTATAATGACGTGAGGACAAATCGATGATCAAACTAGCGCCGTGTTACTCATTGCCACCGTGGCAATTTATTGAAATAAACCCTTGGCTCACCTGTCTGCACTTTCCTAAAGGTCGACCTATGATAGCATTTAGCTGCATAAGAAAAAAATCAGTTGTGGTAATGAGCACACGTGGAATAATCCAGACGAAACAAAGAATTGTACAATGTATTTTGATTCTGACAAAGGTGAAAGAAACTGCCTTTTTTTTTACCACACTCAGGGAATTGTTTTTAATACTTCACTTTCGGTGAAAAAAATGAAATGGTATGGGTTTAATATCCCTATCAACACTATTAGGTTATTAAAGAAAGGACCGAGCCACGTGGGAAATTCGTGTAAAGTGCCTTTCCCAAGTACACAACGTCGGACCGAGCTGAGACTCGAGCTCCCGAATCCGCAATCTCACGATTACGAGTCCGGTAGCCTAACCACGCACTTTCGGTGAAATAAATCCTAATATAACAAACGTGAAATTTTATAGGAAGATATCTACGGCTTGAAATGATATAAGCTGTAATCAACATTTGCATAAACTACTCCGCGGACTACATTTGCCTTCTAACCTGCTCTAAGCAAAGTATAGACTTAACTGTGAGGTCAAAAATTCGTGGCGCAACTTACTGTTAAATATTTCCTAAAATATTAAACATAAACTCTCCAGTTTTTGCACATGGACTTGTATCAATTTGTCTTAACAGATCAATATTTTTGTAAACTCCAGGTAGCTGTATTCTAGAAAATTCCTTTATAAAGACAAATAAAAATATCTAAGTTGGAGGTTTCTACAGATTTTAAAAGGTTTACTGCGGGGGTAATATCGCTTTTAAAATCAAGTCCGTCATTTTTTCAGGTTCTAATCGCGACAGTATGCTTATTAAATGCATGTTTTAAGACCATCTAGTACAAAATGTGTTCACTATAAAATCATTTTCTTGTAACGCGTTTTGCCTCTAAAAAGAAATCTGTAAATTCAAGTTGTTTGCAAATCGTCAAAAGTGGCGCTACAGCGTAGGAACATAATAATATGACACTGGGCTACTCAAATCGCGAGTTCAAAACTTTGTTTTTGGTCACGTAAAATGCACAAAACGAATTAAATTTTTTTAAAAATAAAGTAAAGTAAGCACACAACAACCATCCTCCCCAAAAAAGAAATAAGATAAATTAAAAATTAAAAAATCTGTTGTACAGTAAGTACTTCCCATTTTTCTACTTTTGAAGAGAACTCCCTTCTCTCCTTACGTAAAACATAAATTGTAATGAACTGAGTGACAAAGTAATAATTATCTTCGAAAGCTCAACAAAAATACTATACGATCTCAACAACACATTTCTGATCATTTTGAAAGCGGTCGCTTCTGCGCTGCCTGTCATGTCCAGCCCGGGCTAGGGTCAGGGTGGAAGGGAGGGGTGTGGGGTGGGGGGGTGGGGGGCAACATTTTCAGCAGACGAAGATACTCGATAAAAATTCCTCCCCTATCTTGAACAAACTCATAAGTATTTACTGCGCGGGACAGCAAAGCTTCTAACTGATTCACAACAAAGGCGGGCTACCCATATAGTGAACAAAGTTTGAAAGACTGGTCATTTGACTCCAGACTTTTATGCTGTTTAAAAAACAATAAAAAATCTCAACAGAAAACATCCAGTGGCTACAACAAGTCTAGAGATCTAATATCCCAAATCGGTTTAGATAAAACACCGTATTTACTAAAGAAGTTTTGGGTCCTGAAACCTTACCCAGTCCGTCCCTGGGTAATGGATAGGGGAAAGACCTGTAGGTATGGAGGGGAGCTGCTAAACAGCCACGAGCCAATTTGAAATGATTGTGGAGAGTAGAGGAGAGCCCTGGTGCCACAGGTGCTTCAGAAAATCCCACGTACACTCAAAGAAGAGACCATCTTTGCGATGGGAGGCGCCATAAATCCTATCAATGCCCCTACTGCTTTGTGGGTTGTCTACAGGTGACAAAGGCTCGCAGAGAAAACTGTACATCAACCAGCAGTTGGCATCAGGAAGCCGCTGCTGTAACCTCCAAACAACAATCATAGAAAAGCAAACGACGTACAAGCTGTCATTAGGAAAACGTAACACGGCTAAATCACATTGCTTGATAATATCCCAGTTGAAGCGATTGTCACGCAAGAAGAACTAGGCACTGAAATAACAACAAACCTCTTAACTGTTATCTACGACAGCGGTGCGATTCCAGAAGATATGAGTCAGTTTTATAACATATTCTAAAATACCAGGAGCCACTGAATGTGAGATGTGTAAGATACCTTACGCCCTTGTCTACCCAATTTTGATCTTTTAGAAGGCGTCTGCTTCTGCGCTACCTGTCATGACCAACTCGAACATTAATCAAAGAAAAGCACACGCAGTGGCTACAACATGTTTGAGGATCAAATATCCCAAATCGGTAAAGACGGAAAACTGCATTACTGAAGTAGTGTAGGGTCCTCATACCTTACCCAGCGCGTCTCCGGGTGGAGAGGTGAGAGACCTTCAGATATGGAGGTAAGCTACTAAGCAGTCGCCCACCAAAATGTGAGACGGTCGTGGTGAGTAGAGGATAACCCTGGTGGCACAGGTCCTTCAGAAAATATCCCATACACACAAAGAAGGAACCATCTTGACGATGTTAAGTCCTGGCAACAAAGCCCTTAAATTCTATCTATGCCAGCGATGAGATTCAAAAAGCTATTCACGATTAAGACCTATAACACGACGAGTGACTGAATGTGAGAATCATAGAACAATACGCCTTATGAGTCATTTTACAAATATTTTGCTGCGAGTAATAATGAGAGGAATGAGAAAAGTCTCAAACCAGAGATACCTAAAACACAGTTCCGCTTTGATACTGACAAGGGCACTAGAATTTTTACATTCACCTTTTTAATAGAAAGACGTATTGAATAATTGAAAAAAAACCCTTGTATTTATGTCTTACAGATTTCTCAAAGGTTAGACATGGTAGTTTATTCTAACTATTGGAAGAGCTAGACATCAATGAAAAAGATCTAAGAATTATTAGAGATTTGTACTTGGACCAGTAAGCTGTTGTGAGAACTGAGGGAGAGTACAGCAAATATAAGCAGATAGAAGAGGAGAGAGTCAAGGATGTGTTATGTCCCCAGACCGCTTTAAGATGTACAGTGAAACAACCCTTAGAAATACAGAAGAATGCCCAGGTCTCTAAGTTAATGGCAAAAGTATAAATAGCACTAGAAATGCCGATGGCAGAGGTTTAATACCCGATTCAGAGGAAAGACTTTTAATCTGTTCTAAACACTGTTGTAACAGAATGTAAACGTAAAGGGTTATTGTGACATATGAAGATAACAGAATACATTGTGCACGGTAATATTAAATTAAGCAGTAAATCATACTTGCAATCTCATAAGCAAAAGCGAAAAGATAAAATTGATCAACAGTTTTAATATATAGGATATATAATTACTTATGATACAAAATGTTCCACAGAAAGAAAACGAAGAATAACAAAAAGTACAAATAATTTAAATAAAAGGAGCCTAATCCTGGAAAAAAAAATCTCAATGAATACAAGATGAAAATTCTGGAATAATTTGCATGCTCAACTCTTCGATATTGCCCTGAAGAGGTTGGAGAGCTTAAACAGATTGGTGATGGGGAAAGATAAAAATTGTAGCTTTTTAGAGAGCATCAGAACAAAGGAATGGATAGAGAACCAAAATGCCGATGTTGCAGATCTGGCACTTGATGATGATGATGATTTACTGAAGAAGAAATAGAATGAAATTTCACTTTAGCTTGGTTTAATTCTTTACATGTCAGAGGGTTTCCACAGTCGTGTCACCCAACCTGCAAGAGAGAGAGAGAGAGAGAGAGAGAGAGAGAGAGAGAGAGAGAGAGAGAGAGAGAGAGAGAGAGAGAGAGAGAGAGAGACAGAGACAGAGACAGAGACAGAGAGACAGAGAGACAGAGAGAGTGAGAGAGAGAGAGAGAGAGAGAGAGAGAGAGAGAGAGAGAGAGAGAGAGAGAGAGAGAGGAGGGGTCATTATTGTATATTGCATTTTCCATTTCTCAAAAAGTTCATCATTTCAGGGATCGCTGTGACTGACCCGTGGTCCCTGCTGCCCACGATATGGCTAAACATCAACGCGAACCCTCTCTTCTACCAGTCTGTTGCCCTATGACCCTAGGGATATTATGCAACTCACGCGGGCCGTGCCTCATATCATCTTTGTCAAAATCGCCACTTTTATCACCGCCTTCATCACCTTTCGAAAGATGTCTGCGTATCGCCGTCCCTCTGAAGGTGAAGACGATCATCACACCGAGAAGGACAAAGACAATTAATATCTCCATCTACATTGTCGTGTCTGTATTGAGGATCCCCTTCTGCCTTGGAAACAGACTTGAGTGGGTTTTCGATTTCACAACAAATGCTACTCTGCTAACAGCCACGTTCACGGCCGAGAGAGAAATGCTAGAAGCCATTACAGTTCTCAACCAAAGCATATTTGCTACAACATTTTCCTTCGTCTTCGTCATCTGCTGCACCGTCGTTCGTGTTGTCAAACTCTACTGCAAAACAAAATGGCGACAGGCCACGGCAGCCAAGTCTGACCGTGCAGCGGAAGGAGTTGGGAGTCAAAGATAAAAAAGTTGTGAAAATGGTGATCTTCATTGCTGTCATTTTCATCTTGCGTGCCATTCCTACAACTCTCCTGTTACTAAGTTTCCGTACGCCTCAGAGGGTCCTGGCTGGGTTCTACGTATGTTCGTAGTCTTTTTAGCACAATATTTTTCTAGACTTTTATAACTACGGATGTTAAGGCTATTGGTCTTAGGTCATTCATTTCAGTAATTTTTCTTTCTTTGGAAGGGGGGCGATTTCAGAACATTTCCAAATAGTGGGAATAGCATGTGTCAACAACGACTGGTTGATAATATAGAACTAAGTTGTGCTGAACACATTTTTAGAATTTTGGGTTGCACACCGTCAGGACCACACGCCTTTCTCACATTCACACCGTCCAAATACACATATAACCTCACGTTCTTCAACGACAAAAGCATTATTTTCATTTGTGTTCACACATGGCAAGTCACACGAATTGCCTTTGTCAAAACGAGAGAAAAAGGCATTAAGTTTATTTGCATAGCTCTTTTTGTTGTCAACACTTATGTTTGTTGGTTTATTTTTGTAGCCCACTATGGTCTAAAGCTCAAACCATGTCTCTCGAGAGTTATTTGATTGAAACAGATCTTCCAGTTTCTTTTTATATTTTGTTTTTCAACCCAGATTACTTTCTTAATAGCTTTGTCTATGACTTCTAGTTCTGTTTTGTCATGGTTTTTAAAAGCCTTTTTCTTTTTATGGATTAAGTCTTTGATACCAGAATTTATCCACGGTTTAGAGTTAGGGAAGATGGTAACTTGTTTTGTAAGGGTCACTATATCTACATAAAATTTAACATAGTCTGTGACTGTTGTACATAAATCATTGATGTCACAACATGCATCGATAAAAACATTCCAGTTGGTACACGGGGGTCTCAACGTCCACCGAATGTGGCTTAAACAAAATTAGAACAGTATGAACAGCTCCAGAATGTTCTGTTTCAGGATGGAAAGAGCGAGTCAACAAAGCCTTGTGTGAAATATGTGAGGCAGCGCGGTGGAATCAGGCGCTCGTCAATTTTTTGGCATGTAGAGTTTTAGGCATCATCTTAAAGCTTATTCACTTGTTATTATTTGGATGAAAAAAATATCCATCTATCTTGAATACAAGTCGAGATATTTGTGAAAGAAGGAGGTAGGGGTCACCTGTTTTCCTAGGTAAAATTAGAGAGAAAATGGCCGTCAAAAATTTGTTATTTCCTTAGCTTAAGAGTCCGTGGTAACTAAAAATTTACATTTTCTGTGCCTTTAATCAACGTTTTTCATAAAAATTCAGTCAGAAGTGAGTTCTTTAATGGGCTTGAAAGGCGTTGAGCCAAAAAACAAAAATTCTATAAAAATTCACAAACCTTCGGAAAAATGCAAGTTTCTTCACTTTAATTATTTTGACGAGGGCCTGATTCCACCACGCTGCCTCACATATGCATTTTTAAGTACATTAATTTATCTCACAATACAACAATGGGTTCGGCAACCGTTGAAGCGACACCTGTTTAAAATGTGAAGAGCTGGAGATGCAAATAAAGGCACTGTAGACAAGGACTCAAAGAAGAGGCCAGAGGCAGAAAGAAAGTTACACCACGCTAAAGCGGAAAGTACATACAAGTTCTTAGAAAGGCAAACTAGAGCAGTTAAATCAGACCAAAATCTCGATGCCTACACATTTGATTTCCAGAAATAAACTTATCTTGCACGAACCTCTCATCCGACGATCTTTTTTGCAAGCGTTTGCTATGAACGTATGATTTTGGGGTTCATGACTTGGAAAATGATTCTGCCAACGTTAGCAATGGAAGTATAGATCAACCAATATTGGACGAGACTGAGAGGATTCAGACATAGGGTACTTCATTTGGGAGTTTGAGGTCGTTCCCCCTGAGGCCAGGGGATACAATATTCTGTGTAAATTGTGCCCTCTCGACTTGGGTTCGAGGATCCTGCGTCAGAATCTCTCCAAGCTCAATTGGACTCGAAAAGAATACTCGGGGCAAAGGATCAGGGAGTAGAATACTGCAATTTTAAAGATCATAATCTGCCAACTTGCTAACTACAACCCGCTTACAAATACCCCCCAACATACCTGCCACTATACTGTCTTCCCACTTAGCTCCTCTCTACATTTGTCTTGGCCCGATAGAATAGGCTAACACTAACGATATCACCTTAGCAGAGACTGAGCCCACCATTTCGGAACTTCATGGTGACCGTAAAGATGGTTCCTGTAGGGAACGGGATAGAGGGTGCCCACGTCCCTCGTGACTCATTGGAGCAGAGGAAGATAGGACTAACGCTAACATTACTTAAACGCAATCCCTCATCATCACTCATCACCACTATTAATTCAAAATCATCACCTCTCTCAGATTAATGACTTACATATGTAATCCTGGAATCACTATCCGCTATTACAGTTAATTGATATACTAAGTATGCATGTAATACACTATTGGACACAATCATATGCACTTTTTTCTACTAATCAGATGGCGTCAATCTCATATAAATGGGCAAGGGAAAAAAAAAAGGAAAATGATTCTGCCATAATGAAAATATGCAGTGAGGCGGAAGCTGGCAAAGGGTCAGCTGAAGTCTGTTGATGTTTTCTCAAAGTTTTAAAACAGAGGGCTCGGAATGCAAAGTTATTTAATTTTCTTAAATGACGATGTCCGGGGCAGAATAAGAATAACGAAATGATAGTTCCCCTTCAATCACTCAAAGAAAAGAAACTGTATGAAAAGATCGATCACATTGTCTTGTACAAAGGTCACATTTTCTTGCCCACTGATAGGGACTTTGGGCCAAAACAAAAAATGAAAAACGTGGAGCGAGCCATGATTCCCACTGGTGAAAGCAATTCAAGGAAGTAAACAATCCCACCTATTCATTGTAAATTCCATCAAGGTGAAGGACATTTTGGATTTTATGAAAAGTGCCAATGAGGGCCTTCCGAAGTTTACATTCAAAGACATCTCTAGAAGTAAACATTTTTTCAGCAATGTCTACTGGTTCTCTTTTGGACAAAGCGAAGAGCCAGACAGTACACAATCTACTGGCGTCGGTGGGCTAGTTGTTAGGCTCTCGGACTCGCAACCGTAAGGTCGTGGGTTCGAATCCTGTCAGGGGCCCGAATTTTCCTCACTTCACCCAGGCGGGAATGGGTATTCGGCTATAGACAGCGAAAGATCTTGTCAGTTTGTTAGTGTTTGAGCGCTTAATCGGCTGCTTGTACTGTATGCTTCACGGGAAGCTGAGAATGTTTCGGAGTGTTCTATGGTCTGCTGGGGTAATAATTGTAAAGCGCCTAGAGCCTGCTGTTGAGCGGGGATATGCGCTATACAAATGTTATTTATTATTATAACTGAATACTTAAACCTCACACAACAGAAGTTTGGTGCCGGTACACTGTCAACGAAGTGGAACCGAGGAAGAAAGTGCCATTGTTCAAACGTGGGATTCGATCTGTTCCCATAGCAGAGAAGAAATACAACAAGCTCCTGTTGATGAGAAGGCAAAGTTGAAGGACTCTGCACTAAGAGAACCATTCCCACAAATACCAGACCCTCCCATGAAAGTGTCCAGCACGGTGTTGGCGAAAATAACGCTGAGGACTTTTCCATCAAGTAAAATGCCAGGTTAAAAGGAAGGTTATGTCCAGCAGCATGAACTTAACCTTAGTATTGAAAGCAAGAATATAAGAATTTGAGTTGTTTTTCTTTTCGCCTCAGAAAGGGTGCTGGAAAACTCTCAGAAAGCTAAAAACGTTGCAACCGTCATTATAATAAAACTTTCTTTCCACAAGTAGCCGTCGTTATAAAAAAATAATGTTTTTTTGCAATTTTCTCGAAACTCTGGAAACGTGACTGAGCCTTTGTTAGAGGACTAAGCCCTTCAATGAATCGGTTACATATTGCTGTTGTTTCTATCTCTCCACTACATGGTTCAGAATGCATGGACACCCTTTATATCGGTGAATATATAGACAAAGATTCTTTTCTTTCACAATACACAGAAACGTCACCAGAGTCTGTGGTGTGACATCGTGGCACTCGCCGTCACACGTAGAAGACTCATGTTTGATTACGCGTGGAGAGATTTTTTCACCTATTATCTCGTCTTTCTGCTGTGACATCGTATTCTTCTCACCCCGGGTAGCAGCCTTGACAGGTAATGTCGAAGTCCGCCTCCTATATGATCCAAATAAATATCGTCGAAGGGTTTTAAAACACATCTTAACACCTAGAAAAAAATCAGACAAAGAAAGACAGAGTCCCAAAGATAAAGCACGTGAGAGACTGTTCACACAGTGGAAATGCCAATTTGAGTGAAAGAAATAATTATAACGATACAGTGAGCTCACTTGGATAATCAAACATGCATGGGGGCACGGTGTTTCACATTTCGACTATGGACCGACCTATAATTGACTGACAAAAAATGCAGCCGACCCATCTCCAGGTTCCTAACTATCGACCTATAATGAGATACAATTTTAGAAAAATCGGGTGTGTTAATGAGCGCACGGGAGCAGGTTCAGACGAAACAAAGAGTTGTATTTTGAATCTGACAAACGAAGGCATTTATCCCTTTTGATAGAGGTTAATATTTTCACTACTATGGCTGTGACATTCAGGTCTTTATAATTATGTGTTGAATGTTTTCTCAAATAATTAGAATAATGGTTGTAACAGACTGTCAGCCTTGACTTCGGTTTGACTAAACAAACCAATATAAGCATACGACACAGATATCACAACTAGTAATTCATTCTTGTTATACGACTTTAATGATATACATGTTAACAAAAAAAAAGCTATCATAATGTTTGAGTGCAATGCAGGAACACAAAGAAAGAACGTAGATAAATGATCACTTTTTTGTATTTGATTAAGCCCTGGTTTTCTATGAACTTATCGTATAAATCAAGGTCTGTGCCTGAAACAGGGGAGAAGCCTTGCATTAAAGTAACTGTGGTGTCGATGTCCCACACGTCTCTCCCATCCAGAATGTCGATGTCACATTTGTGGGGAAGCAACTCAACATACTCTCATGACCAGAAAATGAGCATACCAATGACAACGCCATCACCTTCTGGTTCATATTATGCACCCATCATAAGCGACGAGCAATGGTTCATTGTCCAAATGGTCAAAGTGGTGGTCATCTCTTGTCTCCTCAGTCTGTTCGGCGTGGCCTCCAACTTAATCAATATTGTGGTGTTTGCCAAGCAAGGTTTTCAGGACAGCATGAACATCAGCCTCATGGGTGAGATGGTAATTATCACATCTACAGTAAAGTTACGATTGAATAACCAAATCTACTGTTAATTGAAATTAATATGGCCATCAAACGTTGATGGAATAGAACATTACACACATAAGTGAGGTGGCTATAATAGACACAATGGTGAAATGAAGCACCCGGCCTATTTTCAATACCGTCAGCAATCTGTTCGTTTGCTCTTAGCCCAGAAATCTTTTTATTTTTCAGGAGATAGAAAAAAAATGTCCTCTCGATTTTCCAGATTTATGAAGAAAACCGAGAACTTATGAAGCGCTACTGGTTTGGAACATAATGAACATGACAGTGGGGGACTCAAATCGTGAATTCAAAACAAAACCTTTTTTTGAGAGATGAAATTGGCAAAACGCAAAACAATTTTTTTCAGAGTACACACACAAAACAAACAAACAAACAAACAAACAAACTAAACAAAAATCGTTGTACAATAGTCACTTTCCATTTCTCAACTTCTGACTTTATTTTTTCCCTCCTCTCATGACTTTTTTGAAAGACAAAATGGACAAAACGCTAAAGGATATGTTCAGGTGCAAACAAACAACAACAAACAAACAAACAAAAAAACCAAACCATCTTACAAACAACAAAACGAACTAGTAAACAATCTCTTTCACATGTACAGTGAAACAACCCTTAGAAATACAGAAGAATGCCCAGGTCTCAAAGTGAATGGCAAAAAATATTAGTAGCATTAGATATGCCAATGGCAGAGTTTTAATAGCTGATTCAGAAAAAGATTGTCAATCTGGATACTGTTGTAACGTAAAGTAAACGTAAAGGGTTATTGTGGGATATGAAGACAATAGAATACATGGTAATATTAGTTAAGCAGTAAAGCCTTCTTGCAGTCTCGTAAGCAAAAACAAAAAAGATAAAAAAAAGTTCAACAGTTTTAATGTATAGGATATATAATTACATACGAAACCAATTGTTCCTCAGATATAAAACGAAAGATGACAAAAACTAAAGATAGTTTCAATGCCATGAGCCGAATCCTGTTTAAAAAAAATCTCAAGTATTACAAAAATGAAAATTCTGGAATGCTATGTATGATAAACCCTTCTATATGGCTGTGAATGCTGGGCAATCACTACAGACAATGAAAATGAAATAAAGGCGACAAAACTGTAGTTTCTTAGGAGATGGCTGAGAATTTCTTCGAAGGTAAAGAAATCACAGGATGCATTACTTGAAGAAAGATGCCCAAGTGGGCTGCTCGCTGATTTAAGAAAAAAGTCAAGAAAGGACAAATGCAGTTTCTGGGACACTTGTATAGACATAAAGGCCTTGGACATCTTACTCTCATTGGCAAAATCGAAGGCCAACGAGTCAGGGGTAGACCCAGAACAACCTACTAGGAGGTTTAAACAGATTGGTGATGGGGAAAGATCAGGATATCGTGGCTTTTAAAAAGAGAATCAGAACAAAGGGATGAATAGAAGACCATGATCGCCGATGTCTGTTGCAGATCTGTCAAATAATGATAAGATGGTTTGCCAAAAAAGAAATGAAATGGAATTTCACTTTAGCCTGGTTTGTTTAATTCTTTTCAAGTCAGAGGGTTTTCACCGTCGTGTCACACAACCTGCAAGGAAAGGGGGGGGGGGGTGAGGGGTGGGGTGAGGCTCATGATTGTATATTGAACTCTTCCACCACCAAAAATGTTTATCATTTCAGGGCTCGCTGTGTCTGACCTGTGCTCCCTGCTGCCCACGATATGGCTAAGCCTCTGCGCGAACCCACTCTTTTACAACTCTGAGCTGCCCTTTGACCCTAGGAATATGGTGAACGTCACAGGGGCGGTTCCCCATATAATCTTTTTCAAAATCGCCACTTTTATCACCGCCTTCATCACCTTTGAACGATGTCTGTGTATCGTTGTCCCTCTGAAGGTGAAGACGATCATCACACCGGGAAGGACAAAGACAATTATTATCTCCATCTACATTGGCATGTCTGTTTTGGTGATCCCCTACTGCCTTGGAAACAGACTTGAGTGGGTTTTCGATTTCAACAAGAATGCTACTGTGCTAATAACCACGTTCACGGCCGAAAGAGACATGTTGGAAACCATTACCTTTCTCACCCAAGGCGTATTTGCTACGACGTTTTCTTTCGTCTTCGTCATCTGCTGTACCATCGTTCTTATCGTCAAACTCAAAAGTAAAACAAAATGGCGAAAGGCCACTGTAGCCAAGTCTGATCGTGCATCGGGAGGAGTTGGGGTCAAAGATCAAAAGGTTGTAAAAATGGTGACCTTGATCGCTGTCATTTTCATCGTGTGCGCCGTACCTTCAACGCTCCTGTTTCTCTACATGGTGATTGACCCAAGTTTCCGTATTGGTGGTGTCTATGGAAACGTTTTTCTGGTCCTTTGGTCTTCGTCATACCTAACCGAAACTGTCAACTCTAGTGTGAATATTTTTGTTTATCTGAAAATGAGTTCGAAATATCGAGCAGTGTTTCTGAAAACATTTTGGAACAAGGAGGAAAAGTAACTTTTCAGACACCTACGAAAATGTCGTTTTATAATGATAATTTCAAAGAAAAATAAATCCTTGATCACTTTGGAAAATAATAATGTCTTTTTGATATGACCGAGAAAATCTCCGTAATTTTAAGAATATGATAAGAAAAACTAAATGTTTATTATCCAGCTGATGGCACATGTGTATGGTACACTTATTTACTTTACTTTACCTTTTTCCGCTTGTACCGGTGGGTGTCACGGGGAGACACAGGCGTCTGTCTGCAGCAAGGCGAGTGGCCTGTAGGAGGGACATCCCGTGAGCTCTGAGGGTGTCTGCCACAGATTCACTCCATCGTCGCCTAGGTCTTCCTCTGGTTCTCCAGCCGGCTCTCCATCAAGAATATTTACTGTTGTATGCTCTCAGAGCTAGATGGTTTGAGGGCATCTGCGTGAGGTGTAAGAACCACTTGACCTTTTGTTTTTCAATGTATGGTAGGACTGGTGTTGCTCCTACAGTGTCCCTTATGAATTCATTTTTTATTTGGTCTTTTCTTGTTTTGATGACCGCTCTGCATTTCATCTCGCATGTGACCAATTTCCTCTCTAGGGCTTTTGTTAGGGACCATGTCTGGCACTGATATGTGAGTGTTGGAAGGAAAATGGCGTTGATGAGCTTCGCCTTGGTGCTCATGGGGATATTGGGATGTTTCAGGAGAGGGCCGAGTTGATAGCCGACTGCGTTGGCTCTCTAGCATCTAGTCTCTATTTCTCGATCTAATTTTCCATTTTCTGTGAAAATGCTGCCCAAGTATTTGAATTGGCTGCTTTGTTTTAGTTGGGATCCATTGATGTTGATATTCACTTTATCTGGTCTCCTGCTAATTGTCATGACTTCGGTCTTGCTAATACTGATCTTCATGTCATATTTCTCGCAGTTCGCATTTAGTTGGCTCATATGCTTCTGTAGCTGGGTCTTATTGTTCATCGTTGCCAGGTCGTCTGCAAACATGAGTTCGTTGAGTGCCTCTGGGTCTGGATTGGCCTCTTTTGTAATCTGGTCCATGTAGATCACGAAGAGCAGAGGGGAGAGATTGCAGCCCTGTCTGACTCCGGATATTATTGGAAACCAGTCCGATGTTCCACTGGTAGTGCGGACTGCACTTTTGCTGTTGGCATAGATAGCCCTGATATTGTCTAGCAGTTGTCCCTTGATGTCGTACTGCTCCAGGATCTTCCATAGCTTGTTTCTGTTTACTCGATCAAAGGCTTTTTCTAAATCCACAAATACGAGATGGAGATCTTGGTCGTATTCCAAAACCCACCCACACAGTTGTCGGAGTAAGAAGATTGCATCAGTGCACCCTCTTCCTTTTCTGCCGCATTCGCCAAGCAAAAGCAACCTTCCACAAAATGAAACAGATACTCACAAACATCAGTCTGTCACTGGAAACGAGGAAAGGAGTACTAAAACGTTACATCGAGCCAATCCTATTATACGGGTGCGAAGCATGGACAATCAATAAACAGCTGGAAAGAACAATTGGGTTGACAGAGTTGTAGTTCATTAACATGAAGAAGTCTTGTTTGAAGCAAATTGCAGAAGACAGCTTATGACGACTATAAGAAAGCGACAGGCAAATTTCTTCGGACACACAAGAAGCATTTCAGAATTTTGTAACAAAAGGCAAGTTTGATGGAAAGAGAGGCAGAGGCAGATATAGGGAAACGATACTGGACAAGATGACAACATGGCTAGGAGCAGCAAGAACAAAAGACACCATTGCTGCAACGCAAGACAGAGTGAAGTGGAGGTCCATGATCGCCCACGCCAGTCGGCAAGGCACCGGATGATAACGATGATTACTGAGAGATAAAACTGAGCAATCGGTGTGAACAATAACTATTTGTCAGCTTAAGTAAGATTCAGACCAGATGGAAGGAAATTATGACTTTTGCAGATACCGTGTCATGTGTGGACGAGAAATAGAGAGTTTAGCTGATGTCCTTTGTGTGAAGGGACGGATGGGTGATCAGGTTTGTGTAAGTGTGAGTTCATAGACGGACAGAGCCTTGGACGGATCAGATAATGGGGCAGAAGAATCTATAAAGTTCTTCTTTCAAGTCAGAGTTTTATTTCATTTCTGAAAATATGAAAACACTTTCCGTAGAGGGTCTAATTTTGAAATAAGAAGACAAATCTGTTTACATTTTAAACAATTAATTTAAATTCTAGATACTCTACGTCGGAGTTGAACAGAAAGCAAGAAAAGGTACGCAGTGGCGTCCAAAAGAAACTCGAAAATGTATTCATACGATCATTATGTTAAGATCTTGCACTACTCACACATTGGCATACCAATTTAAAGCTTAATAAATTTTTCATCATCTGGCACATAAATAATTCATTTTATAGCACCAATCACCAGGGGATACGGTCACTCAAAATTATCCTTTAAAAATCGGATTTGGCAAAAATATTTGTGCGAAATCTAAGAATCTTTGAAGTGTGTCCGCTCACGTATTGAAGTAAACCAAAATTGATGGAATTAATACGTACTGTATTGTTTCCCATTATTTTTGACAATATCGAATAAAAATATTGTTTGTTGCAGAGACAATAATATTCTCCATTTAGTTGACATTCAATGCATGTCCATTTCATCCGCCTTTAACTATATACAGAATGATATCCCCCCCCCCCCCCACACACACACAAACACAAAAACACACACACACACACACACAAAAAAAAAAAACCCCAACAAAACAAAAACCCAACAAAACAACAACTGTACCACTATTTTTGTTAATATTTTCCTCCACACAGAAGTTTGCGTTTCAAATTTGTACCCAACATTGGGAAGTCAAAAGGAATGTGTCTGGTATTCATTTTTAGATAAATCCATCGAATGGTTTTGCCCTACATAGTGCATAAAAAAACAACGACCCATTTTCAGCTTTGTCCCCATTTTTGTTGCGTGACGCCCTAGTTCACATTAGGCCTACCACTAAAAATCCCAACGAATTACCATATTATTATTGCAAACTGCAGTAGTATAACAGGCAAGCAGAAGTTTGCAGATAGTTTTTCTCAAGTTCCCTTTGCCTGCTGAGATCATGGTTAAGATCAGTTAAAAGTTGAGAGCCTTTTGAATTGAATATTTCCTCACCACCAACTCATTTTGGTAGTTTCGCACATGGTACTGAAATAATGTTAAAGTACCACCAAGGGCTTCTTTGATATCAAGGGAGAAAATAGTCCTTCAGTTAAGACCTATAGAGAATCAGAACGAAAAATTCATAGATAAAATGACCACTGTAGGACAAACACACACTATTCGCACCCCTTTAAAAGTCATCAGGGTGCAGAATTCAATATATGAGCCACATGAGACGTACGTCTGTCCGTAGACAATGTCTGAAAGCAAGGACTTTCCTACATCTCGACTGTCACAATTCTCAAGGTATATCTTCATCTACGACGGCTGTACCATCTCCTAGCTCGCGAAGCTTTCAGAGGATTGCAATGTGTTCATGATTCCTCAGTCGTTTGAAAAGCGTGAACATTTCCTCTATGACTATGACATTTGGTCCCTTGGCAAAGCCCATATTCACCTTCCAGGTTATATCATCTTCACAAAATGCTGTCTACTTGGGCAACCTCGTATCACCCCCCCCCCTTATTGTCTGCAGAAACAGCTCTATACAGTAAGGTGTAGGGTGTGTGCGGCTTTGAGTACTCATGGTTGAGTGGATCCT